AAAAAAAAAAAAAAAAAAAACAAAAAAAAAAAAAAAAAAAAAAAAAATCCAAAAGAAAAGCAAGCATTAAAAAAGGGAGGGAGTGAATTACAGTATCAAATGTGCAAACAGGAAGATGGAAGTCTCTGTTGAATTTAGGAGCAGGAATGTCACTGATGACTTTGGCAAGAGCAGTGTCAGTGGGGTGGCAGGGGTGGGAGTCAGATTACTAGATTGAGGGGTACGAAGATGGTGGAAACTGGAGAGAGGACACCCAAGCAATTCTCTAGAGAGCTGGCTGTGAAAACAAAGAGAGCTAACTCAGTGCATAGCTGGAAGGGGCTGAGGCAACAGAAAGGGTACATTTCTAAGATACGAGAGACCTCAATCCTGATGCCCTTAACTAGCTGTCTACATTAACTGAAGGCTCTGACGTGAAACAAACTGCTTGACGGATCCAAGGCTGATAGACTATTATCTACATATTTTCACATTTCTTTTTTTTCCCCCCTATTGCTTTTTCAGAGAGAGAGAGTGGAGGTGGGGAGAGAGAGACAGAGAGAGAAACATCGATGTGAGAGAGACACGTTGATTGGTTGCTTCCCGCATGCACCCAGACCAGGGCCGGGGATGGAGCCTGCAACCGAGCTACGTGCCCTTGGCCGGAATTGAACCCAGGACCCTTCAGTCTGCAGGCCAATGCTCTAACCATTAAACCAAAGTGGCTAGGTTTATATTTTCACATTTCTCCTTCAACCAGTTGAGTTATATATTCACCAAGGGTCAAATTCCAAAACCTGTTTATGACTATTATGCTTGTTTTCATGCAATTTAAATACTTAACTGGTTAAATGTATGCAAAAAGAATGATTTGTTGTTTAGCTGAGCTGCTTTGGAAATTCTAACAGATAATGACTAAAAAGTGACCCCCTCCCCCTCCAAAAATTGCTGTAATAAAAGTTTAAGAAAAGAACTGTGATGATTCAGAAGACTTCTGTTTCAGATTAATTATGTGTCTTTAGGTATGTTCTTGTTCCACTTAAAAAAAAAAACGACTAAAATTGAAAATAAAAAATGGTACATTTTAGGTGTACTTTATACAAGGACAGTGAGGAATTCCAATCAAGTGATTCATACTTGTCAAAAAGTCCTTCCTCTTACATTAAAATATTTGGAAATAAATATACATTCATGTTTTGTTTGAATAGTTTAAGCAGTTTATCATTTTTCATGATTCCACTTGAAACTAATTTTTTCAATTTATTCTTAAATGACATTTAAAGAAAGGTCAATGGAGACAGGAACAAACGGCATATAAAGCATGGGCAGAGCAATTCATTTTAGCTGGAAGGAAAGACTACAATCTCAGTCATGTCAATAAAATGGGTAAAATGGGAGTAGTTAGGTTATAGTAAAAATGTGAGATGTCTGGATTTCAGAATTCAAAGGCTAAACAGTCGGACAAAATCTAGCATATCTTTCTGCAAGCGGATGGCTGATATAAAGGAGCTGAAGAACGCAAAGAGCCGACACCTAGTCTTGGGTACACTGTCTACGTGAACTCTGGAGTCCAGGGCTTGACGGCTGGGCCTGAGTGGAGA